CCCCCCCGTCACGCCAGCCTCTCTCTTTCTCCTTAGTTTGCTACTGTCTATAAAGCGAGGGATAAGAACACCAACCAAATCGTGGCTATTAAAAAGGTGAGTGTTGGGATGTTTTCCCGTTGTGTGGTCAAGTGTCTGATTGCTCTTGCCTTGCCTGATCATTTTCTTTGACCAACTTGGTAATGGAAGGATATATATTTTTGTTTCTAAAGTGGTTTGTTTAAATGAGTGATCTAGTTAACAGTTTTTAATGCCTCGCCACCCAAGAAAAGAGGCTAGCTTCAGGCCTACTATGTTTCTGAGTTTTTGAAGGGTGACCTGGTCTGTAACTTTAAATTTCAGTTTTTTGATAAATTGATTTTAAAAAACCTCACACACATTTCCAAACTTGAGACTTCATTAGTCCTTGATCATGGGGGGTTTTTTTAATTTTTTTCCTGCTGTGCCTAATTTCCTTCAGTCCAGGAGTGCTACTTCTGATTAAGTTCTTTAGAACTGATGGTAGTTTTTTGACAAAAGTGATTTTAGATCTGCAACTTTGAATACAAATGTTGAAAATTACTATGTTGTCATAAAGTGTTTCACTTCATGCTACCTGAAGAGATTGCAGGAAGGTTTTGTATTAAAACCAAATGATTAGCTGTGCTTTGTGAGGGATGAAAAATGCACGTTACAGTGCTTTGTTTAGCTAAAGAGCCTGCTTTACTAGACAAGCTGAACTATATCAATTTTGTTTGTTACACTAATCTCTTTCAGCATTAGAATACTTTTCCTCTATGGTTGCTGTTAGTAGCAGCTGTTGTGAAAAGCATCCTTGTTTTTGTCAGAATGTTTTCTTACTCTTATCATCTGGAGACATCAATAGCAGGATTCTGGATTTGAAAATTTCAGGGCAGTAGATGATTTGAGGGACTTTAAGCCAGCCCAAGTTTACGGATATGCTAATTTTACTAGAATCATTATAAGGTGACTATAAATTACTTTACCCTCATTTCTCCCTGAGGAGAAACCCATCATGACTATTTTTAAGCTTTTATAAAAACTAATGTTGTAGACAATTATTTTTTTAAGGGGCGGGGGAGAAACCAAACAAACTGAAAAAATGACCCAAAACCAATCCTAGCTGGTAAAGTGCTTCATGGTACTGAAACTCGTTTTGTCTTAGAAGAGTAATACCAAAGAATGTATCCCCTACTGTTGGGGCAGATGGCTTAACCTTATGTAATATGAAACATTTCTTTTCAGATTAAACTGGGACATAGGTCAGAAGCTAAAGATGGTGAGTTTTAAAACAAATGCATGCTGCTGCAGCAGCAGTGCTTTGTTTACTTTGCTTTTGTAAATTGGTTACATTAATTTCCCACACCATAAGTTAGCTGAGAAAAGTGAGCTCAACTGTCAGTATAAGGCTTAGTAGAGGATTACTTCCCGAACTGCAGGGGTGGAAAAAAGCAGCAGAGATATCTGCATGCATAGTATATGTCTACATATGAGTATATAACTGCTTAACTTTTCAATTTCAGTGGAATACGAACATGAATATAGCATAGAATAATAATCTTCACCGCACTGAGTTTAGAATACCTTTTTGTATTGATGCATCTCTGTGCCTGAGAGTGTTTATCTCTGTTTTCAGATGTTTCCTGTGTTCTATTTTTGTGATTTATGCAGAGACAAAAGTTGATAAAAACAAGATCTTAAAACTCTTGTCTCTCTCTGGATTTATTTTGTGTTGAGAAATCAGATCTAAAGACCAATGTCTTTTGATCATGTGCTCTGACCAGCCACGTGCCTTTAGGCATGGTTATTTCAAGTAAAAATCCAATAACCCTGGTCTTCTCTTACAGCCTGTGTGGTGCACTAGAATTTTGCGTGTCTGTAGGCTGCCATCCTTCAGGCATCCTCTATCAGGTTACCAGCTTTCCAGGGAAGAATCTTTGCTTTCAACTCTCCAATTCCATTCGAAGCGAAGAACTTTTAAAAAGAAACTGAGCACTCATCCCAGAGTCTCATGGCTGAGCTGACTGCCAGAGAGTCATGGTCCACCTGGCCTTCAGTGGCCTGAAGTCCTTTAAGGACAGTTGTTACTTTTGGCCTACATAATATCTAGCTATAGTTCAAAGATGTTATTAAAAATAATGATCATTCTGGTTTCCCTGTGTTGTCTGATAACCTAGTGTACGTTTTTATTTTATTCTAAGGCTTTGCCCACCCAAAAGCAGCCATTGTCAACTTTATTCCAAAATAAGTAATCAAAATAGGCGAAGAGGAGTGTGAAGTAATCCATGTAGCTTTTCCCAAAACTTTGCTAGAGTCTTATGTGTTGATTCTTATCCCAGGTTTTGGGAGAATACTGTTTTTCAGCTCATGCGCAGCTGAAACTTCCTGCACAACATACCACAGAAGCATTTGCTTGCCAGTCAGTCTTTGTGCAAGTCATGCATAACAGCATTTTTGAAGGAGGAATTGTTACCCTGCAGGAATCATGGTTTGATGCAGTGCAGTCAATGCAAGTGCCGAAGTGCACTGTTAGCACGCTACCCACCCCCCCAGTTTTTCCTCTATAAAATCTGGCTGTTAAAGGATTCAAGCAAGGGTAAGCAGGTTTTGGGCACTGTACCTTTTATGCCACAGCATGAATATAGAAAAATGTAGGTGCCTTGCCTTATTAAATAATGCAATGTCGAAAAGAAAAGGGATGTATATATTCATGAGGTTTGTCAGTGTGCCTCCCTCTGGAAGTGAAACAGATTGAAGAACTGATATTTGCAAGATGTAACTCTTCTTTAAAATAAAACCAAAGCTTAGAATAGCCTGAAAAAGGTGATTTCCCCCCTGCACCCCCTCCCCCCCCC